AAACAGATTTAAAACTTAGAATATATAAAAATATATGTTATAATGTTTAAGAAAATAACTATGAATATTACCGTGTCAAAAATGTAATGGAAAAACAATGCAGTGCGTTTAAAACATCCCATCAGAAACAAAAAATACGCTACATAAAACAACAAATAAATATATATCTAATCCGATAGCTAGTCTTTGTTCCCTGAGGGGAGAATTGAACGCTGAGTTGCAGTGAAGGGTGGAAGTTGAGATCTATTGTGTTGGTGGAAAAGTCATTTTTCCTGCCATGCCATTTCCCAAAACCATTTTCTTGCATTTGCAAGCCTGTCTAATGTCTTGAATGACTGCACTCAGAGAAAAAGGGGGATATGAAGTTTGATTTTTCATAACAACCATTTGACTGCAGTAGAAACAGAACCAACAGCAAAAAATCCATCTCGGAAAACTGAAGGGTGAAGGAACGGGGCTTTCGTTAAATTTGGAGATTGCCTCAACCCACCCGTGACTCTTTTACATGGCCCTGCCTCCGTGTTAATGTGGGTTCCCTGATCAGAAAAAAACAGAAGCAGAAATTGAACACGACTTGGAAAAAAAACAAAAAAAAGTCGCCAGCTCGGTGGCGTCAATGAAGCGATGAAGCAAGTTTAATCAATCTTCAAAGATGGCTATTATTATTCAGGCTCGATTGAGACCGAACAGAGGCGAAACAGAGGCTTTGCGGTTTTCAGAGCCGAGACTCTTTTGATAGCCGCTGACCCGGACAAGCCCCCGGTTCTTCCGCTGAATAATTCATGAGGAAAAAACGGGTCCGGTCTCGGAAAGGACGACGGTGACATTCTCGAGATGGTGGGGGGAGTGAGTGAAGGAGATGAAAAGGAGTTCCAGAAACCTGTGACCCTTTTGTGACGGCTTCCTGACAGCATCCCTGTTAGTATTCTCGGCAGGGGCGGCCACGGAGGCAGGTAATTGTGACATGTTTTACATCAATACGCTCCCAGAAGAGCCGTCGTTCGCCTGGGACTTTCAGTTTTAGCCCGTCCCGCTAAACAACAAACCATTACACCGGCTAATTCCGGCTCTGAATTCCAATTCCAATTGAAGTCGCTCAAATCTTCCGAGAGAATCTGTGGTTGAAGGCAGCTTTTGGGGGGTTTCAAACGCACAGAGATTACCATAATCAGTTCATGGCTGAGGATGTTTTGTAAACGTGGATGTGATTAATGCCGGCAATTACCTTGGATAAATGCAAACAGGCTGCCGTGCCACGGTGCCGGACACGAGAGAGAGACAGACATCGATCCGGATTACAGAGCGGGAGTTTTTCAGCCAGATTCCACAGCTTCTGTAATGAAATATATCCGCGTGCATTCACAATCCTCATTTATATGGACACCTCTCCATCAATCTCATTTTTGGGATTATAGGAGCAGAAAGACTATTTCAGAAATTCCTACCCCAGCTGAAATAAAATATTCCAGACGCACACACACTCCATCAATGCCACGGCCTCTTCTGCCCGATCACTCTGCAGCAGGTCTGCAATTTATTGTCAGGCCAACACGATTCACCCTCCATTAACAGAATCCACTCAGGCCTGCCTTCAATTAACATGAGGCAATCAATTAGCTGGGGAGCCACAGGAGATAAGCATGTGTGTGTTCAGACAGAAAAGACTGTGAAGTGGTCCTAACAGATCATAAACTCTCGGTTAGTTCCTCCTACACACACTTTTGTGCTTCTGAAGTGTGCCGTTACTGACTATAAAGCCAATCAATTGAGGAACATTCATAGATGAGCATACGGCCTGCCAAACTTCCTGTTGAACTGCACTCTTTATGTATAGCTCTCTCACTCTGTCACTATTTATCTCTTTCTCACTTTCTGTTAAGTGTGAGTAATAGTCCTAATGCTCCCAGAGACCGACTCAATCAGGATTCAGGATTCTTCTCTGGATCATCAGTGATATGGAGAGTTTAAGGATGTGATTGATTAACAACACATTTTCTAAAGATCTTCCTACTTACAACAAAGTTGTATTCACTACCTCCTTCAATATATCTATATTCCTTATGAAAACATACTGTGGTACATTAATGGTATCATATTGTAATGCTATGGAGCGTTATGGTAAGATCACATTTATAAACCATGGTATTTATATTGTTCTCTGGTAATATCATGGCACTTGTCTATAAACATGGTACTTTATCACTTCCTACATATTTCCTTCTTTTTACTATTTTTTCCACCTGTCCATCTACATGGCAAGTCAAAGTGTTGGACACACCTGCTGATTATATATAAATAATATATTTTAAAATGTATTATAATATTATAGAATACTATTGAATTAAGACAAAAAAAATATGAAAACACAAATTAAATCAAATTATGTACATTGCAAAAAAGAAATGAAAAAAAAAAGTGCTGTCAAACGATTAATCGCAATTAATCGCATCCGAAATAAAAGAAATTAAATCACATTGCAAAAAAGAAATGAAAAAAAAAAGTGCTGTCAAACGATTAATCGCAATTAATCGAATTAATCGCATACGTTTTTGTTTACATAATATATGTGTGTGTACTGTGTATATTTATTATGTATATATAAACACACACACATGCAT